GGAGCAGCTGGGAGGACCCCAGCCTGCTGGAGTGGGATGCGGGTAAGCGGCTGTGCTGTGGGCATGGACATTGTCCAGCCTGCTGGAGTGGGATGCGGGTAAGCGGCTGTGCTGTGGGCATGGACATTGTCCAGCCTGCTGGAGTGGGATGCGGGTAAGCGGCTGTGCTGTGGGCATGGACATTGTTCAGCCTGCTGGAGTGGGATGCGGGTAAGCGGCTGTGCTGTGGGCATGGACATTGCCCAGCCTGCTGGAGTGGGATGCGGGTAAGCGGCTGTGCTGTGGGCATGGACATTGTTCAGCCTGCTGGAGTGGGATGCGGGTAAGCGGCTGTGCTGTGGGCATGGACATTGTCCAGCCTGCTGGAGTGGGATGCGGGTAAGCGGCTGTGCTGTGGGCATGGACATTGTTCAGCCTGCTGGAGTGGGATGCGGGTAAGCGGCTGTGCTGTGGGCATGGACATTGTTCAGCCTGCTGGAGTGGGATGCGGGTAAGCGGCTGTGCTGTGGGCATGGACATTGTTCAGCAGCTACAGACAGGGCATCTGCTTTGTGCACTGCTGCTGGCTCCCCTCCAGATCTCCAATCCACCACTCTGAGGGGTTGATCTCTCCCCCAGCCAGAGGCTAGAACCTTGTGGAGATGATGGCACCTCAGGTCTGCAACCACTCACTGTCCAACTAATAGACTAATGACCAGCTTAAGACCAAAGAGCATTTTTTTTTTCGGGGCGGGGGGGTGGGGAGGTGGTCCGGTCGTGGGGCCTGAACTCTGGGCCTGGACACTGTTCCTCAGCTCTTCAGCTCAAGGCTAGCGCTCTACCACTTGAGCCACAGTGCCACTTCCAGCTTTTTCTGCTTATGTGGTGCTGAGGAATTGAACCCAGGGCCTCATGCATGCAAGGAAAGCACTCTACCACTGAGCCACCTTCCCACCTCCAAAGAGCATTTCTTCTCCCCAGCCTTTCCTTCCCTTTTGGTCCTGGGGTGGAGCTCATTGGTTCAGGCCAACTTGTACAGAGATCCTCCTCCCTCTGCCTCCTTTGTACTTTGTAGCTGGGAATTCAGATGTATACCACTGCACCCAAACCTCCTCAACTTTTTTTTTTTTTTTTTTAATTTGCTGATCCTGGGGCTTGAACTCAGGGGCCTGAACACTGTCCCTCAGCTTCTTTTTCCCAAGGCTAGTACTCTACCACTTAAGCCATAGCACCATTTTTTCTAAGTAATTTATTGGAGATGAGTCTCAAGGAGTTTTCTTTCCAGGCTGGCTTGAAACCATGATCCTCAGGGTCTCAGCTTCCTGAGTAGCTAAGATAACAGGCATGAGCCACAGGCACCTAGACCTTCTTCAACTTTTTATGAAGAAAGTTTAATCCCAGAATGACACACTAAACACCCTATCTACCTGCTAGATTCTGCAGTTAGTATTTTATTCTACTCAGTATTCCTCTGTTTAAAGGTGGGGAATCTTTTTACTGCCAAGGGCTGTTTAGATATTAATAACATCATTTGAGGACCATACACAATTATCAATATATGTAGACAGGGTCACAGGAAGACAATGACGAGCGTACGTGTCTGTCCCATCATGTGCCAGGTGGTTTCCTGAGCTTTATACCACCCACAGGCCAACATTTCCCACTCCTGCTGCATACATCTTCTGTTCTGTTGTTTTTGATGCCAGGACTGGAACACAGGGCCTTGTACCTTTGGGCTTTATTCCCAGTCTTTACTGTTGGCATTTTATTCATTCAATTCTTGATACAAGTTAAAAGTGAAATAACTACTTCACCTTCCCCTACTTCAGTATTCATCCCTTAAGCAAGACTTTTTTCTGTATCATAATACATTATTACAACTAAGAACTGGGCCTTTTTTTTGGGGGGAGGACCCCATCATGGGCCTGAACTCTGGGCCTGGGCGCTGTCCCTCAGCTCTTCAGCTCAAGGCTAGCGCTCTACCACTCAAGCCACAGCACCACTTCCGGCTTTTTTCTTTTTGCTTATGTGGTGCTGAGGAATCGAACCCAGGGCCTCAGGCATGCAAGGCAAGCGCTCTACCACTGAGCCACCTTCCCAGCCTGACTTTATTTATTGGTGCCAGTACAGGGGCTTGAACTTAAGGCCTCCATTCTCGCACTGCTATTTCACTCAAAACTCATGCCCTACCACTTGAGCCACACCTCCACTTCTGGGCTTTTTTTTTTTTTTTTGGATCCTGTCACAGGGCTTGAACTCAGTGCTTGGGCTCTGTACCTGAGCTCTCTTGCTCAAGGTTAGTGCTCGACCACTTAAGTGCTCTACCAAAAACCAAAACCAAGTGAATAATCAAGAGCCAGATGCGTGGGCTCTCATCCCCGCTCTGCCCCCTCCTGCTTGTGGAGGTTTGGCAGCTAGGCCTCAGTGTGGGAGCCTGCTGAGGATCTCCACATTTGAGCCCCGTGCCCACCAAGTTTTCAGTGGTGGACCTTAGGGAACGTGTGGGGAGGGGAAACCGGGGAGCCCAGGAAGCAGGGTCATCAAATAGTGTGGACTCTGGGCCACCATATGCATCCCCTGGTCTCTCTCCCACCCCCAGACGACTTCCGGATCTTCTGTGGGGACCTGGGCAATGAGGTAAATGACGACATCTTGGCTCGCGCCTTCAGCCGCTTCCCGTCATTCCTGAAGGCCAAGGTAATCCGGGACAAGCGCACCGGCAAGACCAAGGGCTATGGTTTCGTCAGCTTCAAGGACCCCAGTGACTATGTTCGCGCCATGCGGGAGATGAACGGTGGGTGAGGCCTCCCCTTGGGACAGTGGGTGTGGGGGATAGGAGCATCTGGTCTCAGCCCAACCCACCCCACCCCCAAAGGCTAACATGGAACCCACCATTCTCATAGGGAAGTACGTGGGTTCGAGGCCCATCAAGCTCCGCAAGAGCATGTGGAAGGATCGGAACCTAGATGTGGTACGCAAGAAGCAGAAGGAAAAGAAGAAACTAGGCCTCAGATAGGGTCTGTGGCCAAGTGCTGACTCCTTCCCAACAGCCACCTTTGGAAAATGCTCCCCCCTCCCCCAGCTGTTCACCACCCACCCCCAAAACCAGTTTCAATAAAGTTATGTTCGTTTCCATCCCTTGGCTGGCTTGAATGCACTCTGGGATGGAGCTCCATGTCTCCTCCCCTCCCCCGCCCCACTCCCACCATCACACCACCACCACCATCATGTGAAGAGCTTCAAAAAGTTAAGACAAACATCCAGATGTGCAGTCCTGAGCCCAGCCATGCAGCGGTGGCTCTTCCCTTTCCTTTCCACCTCATAAAGTGCCAGCCTGGGGTGGCCCAATCAGGAACAGGCCCTGCCTTTGGGCTGGGCAGACCCAAAAAAGCTGAGGCTCAGGTCATGTTCAGACTCCAGCCTGTTCAGACCCTGTGCCTCTCCGGACCTTTTGAGCAAACCCAACCAAGGTCTATGTGACAAACCCGGGGCCATCTCAAGGCTCATAGCTTACCATCACAGTGGTCAGGGCTTGGGCGGGACCCTGGTGCTGACCTGCAGGTCTTCCTATGATTGTTTCTGGTTCTGCGCTCTGCCAAGTCCCAGGGCACCCCTGTGAATATCGTCTTGGCACCTATTGGCCTTGTCTCTGGATGTCTGTCTCTCTCAGCCTCTGCCCTCCTTGCCACCGTGGGTCTCTCAGCTCCAGGTCTGCCTGTGCCCCTCTGAGAGGTGTCCACACAAGCCTTTGAGTGCCATACCTAGGCCTTACCCAGAGCCCAGCTACAGGACCTCAGGAAGCAAGCAGGGCCTGGCATCACGGTTGTGTACCCACCTAAGTGGTGGGTGTCAGTGGCTTATGCCTATAATCGTCTACTCAGGAGGCTGAGATCTGAGAATGTGGTTCAAAGCCAGCCTAGACTCTTATCTCCTGTGAACCACCAGAAAACCAGAAGTGGCGCTGTGGCTCAAGTGGTAGAGTACTATCCTTGAGATGAAGAGCTGAGGGACAGAGCCCAGGCTCACTCAAGCCCCACACCAAAAAGAAAAGAAAAAGCAAAGCATGGTGATACACACTTGGAATCCCTCCATGCTGTCTGAGGCAGAAACACTTGAGTTTAAGACCAGCTTACGTTACATTAAAAAAAAGGGGGGGAGGGGGCAGCCAGGCGCTGGTGGCTCACGCCTGTAATCCTAGCTACTCAGGAGGCTGAGATCTGAGGATCACGGTTCAAAGCCAGCCCGGGCAGGAGAGACCGTGAGACTCCTATCTCCAATAAAACCACCAGAAAACCGGAAGTGGTGCTGTAGCTCAAGTGGTAGAGCACTCGCCTTGAGCTGAAGAGCTGAGGAACAGCGCCCAGGCCCAGAGTTCAAGCCCCACGGCCGACAAAAAAAAAAGGGGGGGGGGTGCTGGGAAGGTGGCTCAGTGGTAGAGCGCTTGCCTTGCATACCTGAGGCCCTGGGTTCAATTCCTCAGCACCACATAAGCAAAAAGAAAAAAGCTGGAAGTGGTGCTGTGGCTCAAGTGGTAGAGCACTAGCCTTGAGCTGAAGAGCTGAGGGACAGCACCCAGACCCAGAGTTCAGGCCCCACGACCGGACCCCCCCCCCAAAAAAAAAAGCCCTGAAATCAGCCCTGTGCTGGAGGTTTGGAGGGAGATGGGTGAAGGTCTCCCCTGGGGTACACAGACATCAGAACCCTAAATTAGTGGAGGAATAAGGATTTTGGGGATCCTGAGGCTGTGAAGATAGTATCTCTCAAGACAGATCACCCAGGAAAGGTATCAGATTTCTCCAGTGCCTTTCCCCCCCTCACCCCCCCACCTTTACTGCCCCTCTGTGACGTCACATTTTCCAGTCTGGTCCCAGGGAGGAGGACCTCCCACCCTGACAGGAAATGCCCTTTGACTCCCTGCCACCTGGCTAGCCCACGGAGTCCAGGACCCACAATTCTCCTCCCCCATCCCTAGCTTTCCCGACCCTAACTTTGTGCTCCCTGCAAAAACAAGAGCAAGAAAGGAGATGGGAAGAGAGGATTCCAGAAAGCAGAAGCATACCCAAGTTTCTTTGAGTGTACAGGAATCTCATACAGGACAGGGGACAAAGAAAGGCAAACACAGATGAAGACCACCCCAATATAACACCAACAATGGAGAACTGGATGGGAGAAGACCCAGAGACACGCAGATGGGAAAGAGCTGGTGCTGGTGGTTCATGCCTGTCATCCTAGTTACTGAGAAGGCTGAGATCTGAGGATCTCAGTTCAAAACCAGCCCTGGCCAAAAGAAAAAAAAAAAAAACGTCGTAAGACTCTTATCTCCAATGAACCACCAGAAAACTAAAGGTGGAGCTGTGGCTCAAAGTGGTAGAGCACTAGCTTTGAGCAGAAAATCTCAGGGACAGTGCACAAGCCCTGAGTTCAACCCCCCACCCCACCCCCAAAAAAAGAAAAGGTGGAAAAGAAGGTGCCATGTGGAAAAGGGAGGGACTGAGACGTGTCAAGAGAGACTGGGTGACAACTCCTCAGAGCTGGATCTAAAACAGCAGGGAGCCACAGCTGGGGACCTCAACCAGAGAAGGAAGGCAGCTTCCAGGAGAGGAGATAAGGTCTGGTAAGGCAGGGCAGCCAGGACTGGCTTCAGCATCCTGAGTAAATGGATGGACAGAGGATTGGTGCTGCCCCAGAGTTCAATGACTCCCTAAATACTGGGACTAGTTTCCACCTCAAACTCAGTGGTAGTTTCAATCTCCAATTCAGTGGTGTGTGTGTGTGTGTGTGTGTGTGTGTGTGTGTGTGTGTGTGTTGTGGTTGGTGTCTTTGTGTTTTTGGTACTGGTGCTGGGATTTGAACTCAGGGCCTGAGCACTGACCCTTAGCTTTTCACTCAAGGTTGGCACACTACTACATGAGCCACAGCTTCAATTCTGGCTTTCTGCTGCTTAATTGGAGATGAATGTCACACAGACTATTCTGGCTGGCTGGCTTTGAACTCTGATTCTCAGATCTCTTTCTCTCAAATAGCTAGGAACTATAGGCATGAGCCACCTGCATCCACTGGGATTTTGTGGTTATTTTTTGTTTGTTTGTTTGTATGTGGTACTAGAATTTTTTTTAAAAAATTATTATTATGGGGGCTGGGAAGGTAGCTCAGTGGTAGAGCGCTTGCCTTGCATGCTCAAGGCCCTGGGTTTGATTCCTCAGCACCACATAAGCAAAAAGAAAAAAGCCGGAAGTGGTGCTGTGGCTCAAGTGGTAGAGCGCTAGCCTTGAGCTGAAGAGCTGAAGGACAGCACCCAGGCCCAGAGTTCAGGCCTCACAACCGGACCCCAAAAAAAAATTACTATTATTAAAGCGATGGATGGAGAGGTTACAGTTACATAAGTCAGGTAAAGAGTACATTTCTTTTTGGGTGGTGTCACTCCTTCCCTCATTCCCAGTTTTTCTCCCCTGTCTCTATAAGTTATATTGTTCATTTTCAACATAGTGGTACTGGAATTCGAACTCAGGACATCATGATTGCTGGGCAAGCATTTTACTACATGAGACATGTCTTGCCTTCAGCTCTGTCTTTCCCTTCTTTTTTTCTTTTTTGCCAGTCCTTGGGCTTGAACTCAGCCTGGGCCCTGCTCTTGAGCTTTTTTTTGATGTCACTTTACCACTTAAGCCACAGCCCCAGTTTTTTCTGAGCAGTTTATTGGAGGTAAGAGTCTCAGGGACTTTCCTGCCCAGGCTGGCTTTGAACTGGGATCCTCCAATCTCAGCATCCTGAGTAGTCAAGATGACAGGCATGAGTCACTGGCGCCCAGCTGAGTACATTTCTTTTTGTTCAGTGTCACCCCTTCCCTCACTCTCTCCCAGTTTTTCCCTCCCATCTCCATCCACAAGTTGTAGAGTTCATTTCCCACATAGTTCACCTTTGTCCCTCCATTTCTATGTTCCTCTTACACTCCCAAAGACAGAGAAATGAACAAGACAAAAGGAAAAGAAAAACAGCAATGAAGAAAAAGCTCTTTTCATACCTAAATATATTCATGTTTTCACTTCCTAAGGGAAATATCTTTCATATCTTTCCACTATCACATGCAAGAAAATTACTCTCAATTATCCCCAAACTATTATATCATAGGATGACATTGGCTTGTGGAAAGAGAAGAGGAAGGTTGGCATGCCTCAGTTTCCCTCTTCATAACATAGGGATAAAAATAGTATCCATCTTAGCCGGGCGCTGGTGGCTCACGCCTGTAATCCTAGCTACTCAGGAGGCTGAGATCTGAGGATCGCGGTTCAAAGCCAGCCCGGGCAGGAAAGACTGTGAGACTCCTATCTCCAATAAACCACCAGAAAACCGGAAGTGGCGCTGTAGCTCAAGTGGTAGAGCGCTCGCCTTGAGCTGAAGAGCTGAGGGACAGCGCCCAGGCCCAGAGTTCAAGCCCCACAGCCAACCAAAAAAAAAAAAAAATAGTATCCATCTTATAAGATCATGAAGGCCCATTTTTCCAGTAAACACCTCACTTAATATTAACTGTTAGCCAAGCACCGGTGGCTCACGCCTATCATCCTAGCTACTCAGGAGGCTGAGATCTGAGGATCACAGTTCAAAGCCAGTCAGGGCAGGAAAGTCCGTAAGACTCTTATCTCCAATAAACCACTAGAAAACGAAGTGGCGCTGTGGCTCAAGTAGTAGAGCGCTCACTTTGAGCTGAAGAGTGCAGGGACAGTGCCCAAGCCAGAGTTCAAGCCCCACAACCGACCAAAAAAAAAAAAAAAAGTGGCTCAGTGGTAGAGTGCTTGCCTTGCATGCATGAGGCCCTGGGTTCAATTCCTCAGCACCACATAAGCAGAAAAAGCCGGAGGTGGCATTGTGGCTCAACTGGTAGAGCGCTCACCTTGAGCTGAAGCGCTGAGGGACAGCGCCCAGGGACAGCACCCAGGCCCAGAGTTCAGGCCCCATAACTGACCAAAAAAAAAAAAATTTAACTGTTACTGCTGGGCACTGGTGATTCGAGACTCTAATCCTGGCTACTCAAGAGGCTAAGATCTGAGTATGGTTGTTCAAAGCCAGCCTGAGTAGAAAAGTTGGTGAGACACTTCAATTAACCAGCAAAAAGCTGGAAGAGGAGCTGTGTGGCTCAAGTTGTGGAGTACCAGCTTTGAGTGAAAAGATAAGGTTCAGCACTCAGTCCCTGAGTTCAGGTCCCAGGACCAGCACAAATACATACATACATGCATACATACATACATATGTATATATACATACATATATGTATGTGAGCTATCACTATTATAATTGTTATCCAATTGTTGGTGTTACAGATTTTATTATGATTGACATGCCTCATCACTGGCAGCTCCAGGACCCCCTCCCCCACTGGGCCTGGTGGAGGATTCAGGATTGGCCTCCCTCCACCCCACACCATCCCCCCAGCCACCCCTGGCGATTATGACGTAGGGTGACGCTGGGGAGGAGGGGGGATCTGGCCGGAAATCCCTCTTCCTGTTGCCGATAAGCTCAGTGCAGCCCTGCTGACCCTAGGCCCTCCACCCCCCCCCCCACCTCCCATGTCGCAGGATCAAATCCCCAAGACAGAAAACCAGTCTATCCAGTCCCTCACTCCACTGCCGCCAGCCCATAAAAATATCCTCCATCCCCTGACCCCCCAAACACTGTTCCCCAGTCTCTTCTCCAAGCCATCCAGGCCCAGAACAACACCAGAGGGGGGGGGGGAAGAGGGGGGGCGTGGTCCCGCCCCGCCCCTACCCCTGCAACCTGACCCAGCCTGCGACCCCCAGCTCTGACGTCTCGGAAAATTCCCCCCCCTCCTCGGGCCCCCAGGGAGGGGGTGCATGGTATGAAATGGGGCTGAGACCCCAGCCTAGAGACAGAGGAACCTGCCAGAGGTGAGCTATGAACTGGGGTCCTGGATGGATGCCTGGATGTATGGGTTAGGAAGGCCCTGGGGTAGGGGGGTAGGGGAATGGGGAGACTCCCATGAAACTGGAAGCCTGCACTTCTGGGTGGGAGACAAAAGGGGGACTGGGGGAGAGGGTAAGATTCCAGGCTCCTGGGGGAAGAGAGAGAAGCCCCCCGACTCCTGGGGTCTGAGAGAAATCAGTGCCGGGACCCAGACTGCCAGGGTCCCAAGATGTCGCAAGCTCATTCATTGCCCTTGGCACTTTCTCTCTACCTAGGACCTTCACACCTCGCACCCATGGATCTGTGGCTTTGGGATGAGGTGCCATCGCAGGAAGTTCCTCCGGGGAGCAAGCTGTCAGGACTGGGTAAGTAACAAGAGGCTGGCACAGTGGGTGACTGACAGGGCTGGAAGGGAGATGGCTCTGCTGACCCCTGACCCTGCCTTCATGTCCCCAGTGCCTGCAGAAGCAACCGACTTTGGCTTTTATTACCCTGAATTGGAGTTGCAAGGGAATGCACCGACGGCTGAGACATCCTGGAAAGGTAACTGCCAGGCTGTGGGATTTCTGGGTGCTGGGATCGGGGTGAGGGCGCATGCTTGAGCCCGGAGATTGAAAGAGTCCCCGGGTACTAAGTAAATGACTCCCAGACCTTGATGGCTGATGGGGCGCGGGGTGGGGTGGGGGAGGGAATGATGGAGGAGATTCTAACTCATTACTCACACCCCCTTCCTAAAACTCAGCTGCAAAATTATCACTCTTAGGCTTCCCAGAACTGGACCGGAGTCCTGCGCTACCGCACTCCGAAGTTCCTCGGGGGACTGGTGAGTGCGTGCCGAAAGGCGGGGGAAGAGGGAGTGGTACTCAAGGTAGCTTGGGGCTGGATCTAGGAGCTCTGGGGCCCTAGACGCCGGGGTACAAAACAACCCCCCATGGTGGGGGACCAGGACATCTGGGTCTTACTCGTTTGGGGTTCGTCCTCTTCATAGAGACCCCCGCTCAAGCCCTTCCGTGGTCGGGAGACTGGACAGACTTGGTCTACGACGCCTGGGACCCTTGGAGCCACTCCCCTCAGGCCGCGGGCCCCACCCCTCTCTGCCATGACCCCGCCCCTTCTGGCGTAGACTCGGCTGGGGGCCATGGCCCCGCCTCTGTCTTCCACGACCACGCCCCTCACTGCACTGGGCCCGCCCTCTCCGCCGAAGGCCCCGCCCACCTCACTGGTTCCATAGGGGGCCAGGATTGCGCCCCAACGGCTGGAGCCAGCACCTCAGGGGCGCTCGAGCAGACCGCCTGGAGCGTCGCCAGCTGGGACTCTTCCGTGGACCCCAACGGTGCTACCTACTGGGACAGGGGCCTCGGCGGAGACCCCCGCGCGGACTGTACCATTTCTTGGGGTGGGCCTGAGGGTTCGGACTGTAGCACTTCGTGGAATCCGGGGCTGCTGCCTACGGACTGCGGCATCTCTTCAACGGGGTTCCAGAGTCCAGCTTTTCCCGCTGAACAGAAGCAGCGAAAGGACCGTGCCATCTTGCTTCGTTATCCCAACACGAATCACCGAGGTGAGAGGCCCGTGAAGATTGTCAAAGGGGAGCAGAGAGGACAGCAAAGAGGAGGGGCCTAAAGCCGTCGAGGGGCGTGGCTAGACTCGAGAAGGGGGCGTGGTTCGTGAAACGCCGCGGTGGGCGGGGCCTTGGTCTCGAGCTGGAGAGGGGCGGGGCAAGAGGACGGAGGCACAAATGTTCTTCTAGGGTAGATCAAAGGGGTGGAGGACTCCTAGGTTAGGTGAGAGAGAAGGTTCGGATGCCCTGGGTATCCGAGATGGGGAGCAGGCATTTCCCAAAGCCTTAAGTCCAGATGCCTAGGTGCCTAGGATGCCTGGATGCCTAGGTGTCTGAGGCTGACTCTTGGGTCTCTTATATAGAGGAATCTGAACTCGTGGATCCTCGAAGATGGGGAGATTCCTAGGTCCCCAAGTCGAAAGGATCTGGATCTATCTCTAAGCCTTCGAGGGGAAGGATCCCCGACTCTTAAGGTTATCGAAGCGACGTGGTCTGGGGCTGGCAAACCTAGGTGTTCACACACTTGTCTCTGCCTCACAGGTCCCATTCAGCTGTGGCAGTTTCTTCTGGAGCTGCTTCACGACGAGGCCCGTAGCAATTGCATCCGCTGGACAGGCAACAGCCGCGAGTTCCAGCTGTGCGACCCCAAAGAGGTGGGACAGCTCCCCTGCCTGGACCTCCAAGTCCCGCCCTGACGGCTCCAACCCAGCCTAGTCCCCCGGGTTAGCTGGGCCCAACCTTTGGCCTCGCCCCAGTCTCTACTGCTCCACCCAGGCTCAGGCAAGGGATCCTTTGGGCTTAAATTCCCTAGGCCCTGCCCCTCCACGCCCATCGAGACTAAACCCCGCCCCCTCGGTCTCCGCCCTAGGTGGCTCGGCTGTGGGGTGAGCGCAAGAGGAAGCCCGGCATGAACTATGAGAAGCTGAGCCGAGGTCTACGATACTATTACCGCCGTGACATCGTGCTCAAGAGCAGTGGGCGCAAATACACATACCGTTTTGGGGGCCGTGTGCCCGGCCTAGCCTGTCCCGATGGCGCTGGGAATGGGCAGGGAACAGAAACCCTATAATAATAAGAAAAAAAAAAATACTCCTCCGAACCTCGTCTTGTGTGTTTGTCTTCATCCTTTCTCTGCCTGAACCCACTGGGAAGCCAAGTGTGCTTAACCCCAAAGTTTAGGAGTTTTGGGCTTCCCAACCACCAAGACCCAGCCATCGGAACCCTTATCTGTTTTCTTCCATAAGCCTGGGCCACTTATCAGTGACTTGGTGGCCCCCTGACTGCCACTTTCTTGAACCCCTTCCTTTAGTGCCTAGGGTACTTTTTTTTTTTTTTTTTTTGGGTCCGGTCGTGGGGCCTGAACTCTGGGCCTGGGCGCTGTCCCTCAGCTCTTCAGCTCAAGGCGAGCGCTCTACCACTTGAGCCACAGCGCCACTTCCGGCTTTTTTCTGTTTGCTTATGTGGTGCTGAGGAATCGAACCCAGGGCCTCATGCATGCAAGGCAAGCGCTCTACCACTGAGCCACCTTCCCAGTCCCTCCAGCTATTTATTTAAGTACTTAAAAGTTTAGTATCTTTAGCCGGGTGCTGGTGGCTCACGCCTGTAATCCTAGCTACTGAGGAGGCTGAGATCTGAGGATCGCGATCCAAAGCCAGCCCGGGCAGGAAAGTCCGTGAGACTCTTGTCTCCAATAAACCACCAGAAAACCGGGGCTACAATTACTAAGTCAGGTAAAGAGGTACACTCTTTTTGGGGGGGGTGGGGGGGTTGTGGGGCTTGAACTCTGGGCCTGGGCGCTGTCCCTTCAGCTCGAGGCAAGCGCTCTACCACTTGAGCCACAGCGCCACTTCGTACACTTTTTGAACAATGTTCGGCTTCAATAAAAATACTGTCTCTGAGACATTTTCCCCATGACCACTTTCCCGCCAGCCTGGGCCGCGGGAGGATTAAGAACTTTCCTAGGATAAAAACAGAAGGAGGTGCTTGTGCAGAGTCCCACGCTCAGAGCCATCCCAAGTGCCGCGCCAGCTCACGATTGGGCGGGCAGTGATGATGAGTAGACATTCAGTCCAATAGAAGCGGGGAAGTCTCTTGGAGGGGGCGTGGCCTGAGAGCCTCAGGGCCCGCCTTCCTGTCGGACGCTCTAGCCGCGGGAAAAGACTCGCCTCTCCCTCCCCCCCCCCCCCACTCTCCGTAGCCAGCTTCCGGTCGGTCTGAATTCCGCTTCCGGTCTCGTCTTTGGCGTCTTTGCGAAGGGTGACATTGAGCCGTGCGGTACCTCAGGGGTGTCGTTAGGTGAGTGTGGGGGACCCGGACCTGAGATTCCTCCCCAGCCCAGCGGATGGAAGAACAGTACCCCAGCTTTCCCGAGGAGGGAATTAGACTTCCGGTCCGCCGGGCGGCCGCCCGCCCTGGACCCTGGGGTCCTGTCGTTCCAACCGTGGTGGCAGATCATTGTGGGCGATGCATGAGCTCATTTGACCCTCCGTGCCGCCCGGTGAGGCAGGGTCTGTGATGATCCTTTCTGACCACCGGGAAACTGAGGCTTAGGAGTTAAACCCCCGGTGAGGGGGGCTTTTGATGACCGGTCCGCAGGCATGGCCTCCCGTGGTTTGCGGGGGCACCGGCCTGCCGCTCCTCGTGTCTCCTCCCTGACCCCCCTTGAACATCCAGCATCCCCCTGCCTCTTTTTTTTTTGTGTGTGTGTGTGCCAGACCTGGGGCTTGAACTCGAGGCCTGAAGTGACAGGCGTGAGCCACTGGGGTCTGGTTTCAGCACCCCCTTTCATTCACCTTCTCAAATACAAGGTCGAGATCTTGCACAAACTACAGCGACTGGTCTGTGTCCCAGCGGATGGCATTTTAGATTCCGCCCCCACCCCATTCAGCCTCCCAAAAGACGATTCCGGTGCCCCGGGCACCCCACCTTGGGTCCCATGAATTTGACCCTGAGTAGCACCCTGGCTCTTCCAGTTCATGGGAATTAGACATTTTCTACTAGTTCTCTGGATGGAAGCTGCGTGTCAGTGTCTTCAGAGACGTCAAAGGTTTTGAATCCTGGTCCTCAGGGCCTGTAAAATTCAGGGAGCTCTCTTGGGCTGGGAGAGATGGGGGTGGGGGTGAGGGTGATCAAAGGGATGATAGCAGACAAGATTCACTGTAGTTATAAACTATTGTGTTGCATGGTAACCCCTTTGTACAATTACTTAAGCATGATGAAGGTATAATTTTTTTTTTAAGATTCAAGGAGCTGGAGAAAGGAGGAGTTACATCCACCATTTTACTAACCTGTCATTGAGCTCCCGGTAACTGGGGCTGGCAGCATCTGACTTTATCGCAGTCAAAATCACAGATATTATCAGTTTAGATTGGCTGGTGTCACAGATTACTACTTTTACTCGTGATTAATTTAGAATTGTGGTGCTTAATATGCATGTCCTTACCTACATATAACAGTTTGGAGTTGTTTTTTTTTTCTTTGCTTTTTTGTGTGTGTGAAGATACCAGGATTTGAACTCATGGCATGGGCACTGTCTCTTAGCTTTTTTGCTCAAGGCAGACACTCTACAACTTGAGCCATAGCTCCATTTCCAGGCACCCCCCCACACACACACTTTGTTTTGGTGGTTAATTGGAGGTTAAAGTCTCACAGCCTTTCTTGCTTGGCTTGGCTTAAAACATCAATCCTCAGGTCTCAGTCTTTTCTTCTTTTTCTTTTACATGTCAGCCTTCTGCATAGTAGATAAGTTTAGGGGGGTGAGCCACTGGTGCCCTGCAGTCTATGCAATTTTTATTATCTTTGAACATATTCTGAGAAAACTGTTTGTGGGTACCAAAAAAGAAATTTAGCCACGTGCTGGTGGCCCACACCTGTAATCCTAGCTATCAGGAGGCTGAGATCTGAAGATCAAGGTTTGAAGCTGGCCCAGGCAAGAAAGTCAGTGAAACTCTTATTTCCAGTAAACCACCAGAAAATTGGAAGTGACACTGTGACTCAAAGTGATAGAGCTCTAGCCTTGAGCAAAAGAGCTCAGAGACAGTGTCTAGGCCCCAAGTTCAAGCCCCATGACTGACAAAAAAAAAAAAAAAAGCAATTTAAAGATCTTTGCAATGTGGAGTTTACCAATGATCGAAGCAGCCCCGCCATCATGTTCTGGGTGACCTTGGCAAGTCACTTAGATACCCTGTCTCTCTCCCTTGTCTGAATATCAAGGATAGTCGTGTTAGCCCTGCCTTTCAGACTGTAGTAGGAAGGTGTTAGAACAGCTCCTGGCATGGAGTAGTGTTTGGGGACAGGACTTGTGTATAGATTTTGTGAAGAGGGAGGAAGGCCTGGCTTGTTCCCACCTCATCCTTCTGAGCCCACACCAACACCATTCTCTTTGTTTCCAGGATTCAGCACCATGGCAGAAGACATCAAGAGCAAAATCAAGAACTATAAAACGGCCCCTTTTGACAGCCGCTTCCCTAACCAGAACCAGACTAGGAACTGCTGGCAGAACTACCTGGGTATGCAGGGCCTGGGAAGGGTGTGGTGGCAGATCTTCCCTGCCAGGGACACTTGGCTGAGGGGAGTTGCCTCTGTTTCCTTACACACATCTCAGCCTGGCCCTGGAGAGCCCAGACCCAGGAACCAGCTGTGTTCACAAGGATTTTTCTGCCTGGGCTGGCTTCGAACCTCCATCCTCAGATCTCAGTCTCTTAAGTAGCTAGCATTACAGGTGTGAGCCACAAGTGCCCGGCTCTACCTGGCCCTTTTTTGTTTTGCCTTTTTTATGTGTGTGGGCCCGTGGGGCTTGAACTTGGGTTGCAGTTTTCCGGTGGTTCATTGGAGATAATAGTCTCATGGAGAGCACTTGTGTGTGTATCTTTGTTTAATTTGTAACAAAGCCTTACAGACAGGTGCAAATAGTAAATCCTCTCTTGCAACCCAGAACTCATTTTTGAATATGAGATTTTGGTACATGTAAGAAGGAATATGATTCCTGCCACAGTTGGCAACGTGGGGATTTGTTAACTCACACAGGTTGGTTCTGAGATTAGTTGATGTAAAAGCTAAAGAGTCTCATGGACTTTTCTGCCTGGGTTGGCTTTGAGCCTTGATCCTCAATCTCAGCCTGCTGAGTATCAGGGATTACCAGAACTGGATTCATTTTGCTTTTAAGACAAGTTCTCAATAACTCTGTCCAGGCCAATTAGCCATAAACTTGTGATCTGTTGCCTCCGCCTCTGAAAAGCTGAGACTGAATGTTTGTGCCACCGCTCCCAGCTCTTACGAAGATTTTTTTTTAAGGGAGTGTATGCATACATGGACCCACACCTGTGTGTGCATGTTATGTACATGCTATGTACATGTTATGTACACGTTATGTGCACACATGTATGCACATACTTGCAAGGAGTAAATAAAATATACAACCAAATGAGTAATTGTGAAATGAGCCCCCTGTGCGATTGTGACCCATACAGAAAAACAGATGTTGTGGTTTGTGCCCTGTCTTTTTTTTTTTTTTTTTTTTGGTTGGACATGGGGCTTGAACTCTGGGCCTGGGCCCTGTCCCTGGGCTCTTCAGCTCAAGGCGAGCACTCTACCACCGCTTGAGCCACAGCGCCACTTCCGGTTTTCTAGTAGTTTATTGGAGATAAGAGTTTCACAGAGTTTCCTGCCCGGGCTGGCTTTGAACCATGATCCTCAGATCTCAGCCTCCTGAGTAGCTAGGATTACAGGCGGGAGCCACCAGTGCCCGGCTTGTGCCCTATCTTTAAGCACAGTACTCTCTCCTGCTCACCAACTTAAGATGACCACATTGGTTTTTTACCAACAGTTAGGTTTGCCTCTTGGAAGCTTTATTTTGTGTGCGTGTATGTGTGTGCGCATGTGCGTGTGCATGTGTCGATCCTGGGGCTGGAACGTGGGCCCTAGGCACTGTCCCTGAGCTTCTTTTTCTCAAGGCTGGTGGTCTACCACTTGAGCCACAGCTCCACTTCCATCTTTTTTTTTTGGCTGGCTTAGTGGGAATAAGAGTCTCATGGACTTGCCTAGACTGACCCCGTACTGCAGTCCTCAGAT